CATGCAGGTGCTGATGAAACCTTTGAAGCTAGGTCAGGCACCAAGAACCAAATTCCTCGTGAAGGAATTGATGTACGTGCCCAGAACTGTCTATCGTATTCTTACGAGGACAATCAGTCCTATCAAAGGCCACGACTCATCTGATGAGGAAATTGTTGGCATCATGAAGAATCTGGTATTCAACATCGTTCATGGCATTCCTGTCAATTATCACGATTTCTTCATGAGGACTATGGCCAATGTTGCACTGTCTCTGTTTGAGCTGAAGCCTTATGCACCTTGGATTATGAGATTCCTCAGGACAAGGTCTTCACTCAACTACAAAGCTGATTTTCAGAATCACCTCAGCTACTTGCCCCCAATTGAAGTCCTCAAGCTGACATATTCCTCAGTTGATGGAAAGGGCAAGGCACTAGCTGTAATAGATGAAGGCATTCGTCCATTGGATGGTCAGTTTCGCAAAGCTGCATCTTATTCCACCAATGATGACTCTGCCACACATGACTCTGCCAATGCACCCAAGTCCACTCCTCAAGCCACTGCTCCGCGCATGATGACTGACCGTGAACTTCTGCTTAGTCTTCACCAGAAGGTGGATCGAAATCACAAATGGGTTAAGCGTCAGTTTGGTTCACTTCTTCACAACATGAATGCCACACATAATGCAATGAAGAAAACCACTACTACCTCCATCAAGTCTTCGGTCGCACCTGGGCAATCCTGTCACATCTGTATGGTGAAGAAGATCTGAAGAACATGGGTCTCAAAGAAGATTTTGACTGGTCTGCACCTCCACCGAAGAAATTCAAGAAGGTCAAGGTTCCTTCTCTGGTGGCCAGCTCATATTCTTCATCGCGCGACACTGATGAAAATGAAGACTTGGACGACACTGCGGCATGCCCTACTACAACAAACGACCCCAACAACGCTGGCGCTTCTTCATCAACTTGATATTCTTCAGGGGCGTTAGTCCTCATATTCGCTCCTTTTGGTCATTTGATGACAAAGGGGGAGAATTTTGAGTTAGTCTTCAAGCGGGTCTTTCTATATGGGCGTTTTTTTGTTAAGTTACAACTCTCATTCTTTTGCGACTTTATTGGATCGAGTTGTAAACTTAAACCCGATGGTGCTCTGATACTCTTGATACGTTTTTCTGCATGCTTATTCCTCGTTAATATTATTGCACGCATGCTGAATTACATCAGTCACCATATTTCATCATGCATTTCAAATTCTTCACTGTTATATATCAAATGCGTGTATGAATTACAAGATATAGGGGGAGATCTCCATGATTCAACTCTTCAAGTGTGCATTGCTTCAAAAGCAAATTCCTCACTATGCACATCTTCAGGGGGAGTTCTTCGATATCTAGCAATCAAATTCCTCAATATCAGTAGTTACACTTCATATATTTATCCCCGTTGAAAACTTAACCTATATTGTCATCAATCACCAAAAGGGGGGATTGTAAGTGCATCTAGTGCCCCTTAGTGATTTTGGTGTATTGAAGACTTATAGGTTAAGGGACTAATGTGTTTATAAGTGTACACAGGTCTATAAATCTATGAGGAGTTTGATATTTACAGAGAAAGTCGACCCCTAAAAATGAAGTTCTTTGTCTGAAGACTTTCTGAAGACTTTGAAAGTGAAGAAAATGGTGTGACCGTGAAGACTTGGTATTCATTCGAGGAACATGAAGCGTGAAGAATTTTGTTTTCATAGTTTCATTTTCTCTTTCTTGAGTCATAGAAAACACCGTACTGTTAAAGGGGGTCGAGGAAATACTAAGGAAAAATTTCTATGTGATGCTCAACTCAAAATTCTACACCTACCAATCCCTTCGAGTGAAGCCATTGGAAATATCATATAGTTCAGTCAACTTCTTCAGTGACAGAGACGAAGTTCTTCTGGTCTCTGAGGAATTTGTTCTGACTGAGGAGTTAGGAATTCGCCAGTGCGGATTTCCTACACAGTGAGGAACATGATAGCCCTAAGGATTTTGCTACTCAAAATTCCGACCGTTGATGTGCTATGCACCAGCTGTCCCAAAATATATATCTACCTAACGGTCATATCATTGAAGGGCATTTATGTCTTATCATGTCGGGCTGCTCCCTAGGCTATAAATAGCCGCCCCCTACAACCACTAGCTAGTTGGCTGCTCCGAGAGAAACTGACACTTGTCATTTGAGAGCAACCCATCCTCTAAAGACTTTGAGCGAAAATCATCAAGTGAGGAAAAACCAAAAACCCAAAACCCAAACACCTACAAACCCCAAGTGATTGAGCATCACTAAAGAGATTGATCCTGCGTGGATCCGACGCTTGTTACCTTTAAAGACTGTGCTTCTTCCAGACGGTTAAGCGTCATGGTCTAGAGCATCCAAGAGGAATTGTGGATCACCGAGTGACCGAGTTTGTGAAGGTTTGGAAGTCGCCTGAAGACTTACCACGAGTGATTGGACGAGGTCTGTGTGACCTTAGTTCAAGGAGAATACGGTGAGGACTGGGTATCCTGAGCTGCGTGTTCAGGACTGGGTGTCCGGGACTGTGTGTCCTCAAGTTTAAATACTCAGCCGCTCCAACCAGACGTACAACTGAGACAGCAGTTAGAACTGGTCTACCAAATCATTGTCTTCACCAAGCTTACTGGCTCTATTTCTTCAACTCTTTTATTTCCTCGTAAATGTGTTGTGTGCTTGTTCATATCTGTGTTTGAAGACTTTGACTGAAGACTTTCTCAATTTCCTTAGTTCAATTTCTTCAGTCTGTTTGTCTTCATCCTGTGTTATCCTATGCTTACGCTTATGTACTCTGTGCCTGTCTTCATTTCATCATGATGACTATGCTTGTATTTTGTTATGTTTACTTTTGAGTACTCATTTCGCTGCTAGTAGTTCTTCGCTAAGAAATTTCCTCACCGGCAAATTCCTCAGTGAAGAATTTCATAAAAATCGCCTATTCACCCCCCTCTAGTCGATATAACGCACTTCCACAACCATTACTCGTGTACCATCATGAGCTGAGCTTCAAGGGCTGCCTTCCCTTTTTCGATAAAGAGAATATATTAATGTCACAAAAATATCAATTATACCCAACCACTGCACCAATAAGATGTCAAAAAGACATCAAGGATACATACAGCCAAAAAAAAAAAAGAGAGTAAAAGAAACACAAAGACCCCATCACAATGATGAAAAACTCGCAACAACAGCACTCTAACTACCATCAAAGACAACATCTGGACTATAAAAGTGATTCTTCAAAAGCAACGTCTTCAAAAAGGAAACAATTCACAAACGTTGTCATCGCCCGATCAAAGATCCTAGGTTTTCACCCTGAAGAAAGTCCAAGTTTTTAGAACAATGCCTTCAACAAGGTCATTGTCAAGTACAACCAACGAAGGTCAAACTTTGAGTTTTCACCCTGAAAACCGCGACTCGGTACTCGAAGAGCACCATCAAAAATGCAGTCCGCTTGTGCTGCCACCTCCTCTTGCCAAGGCTGGTGCTGCAAGTTGTCAAACACCCGACACACAGGAAGAACCTGTGCCGCATAGTCTTCATCACTACCAATACACATCTCTGCCATTATAAACCTTCGATCATAACCAACATGACTTTCTTCACCTTTATCAATTTCATGAAAATCTATATAGACATGTCATATGACATCGACCAGAAGGCGAAGCTTCGCTCCACGTCCTCATGAAACCTCACTGACTGAAGGTGAGGATGCGCATGATCAGATTAATTTTAATCTAGATATCCATTGGCATAAGGGACCAATTGTCGGATATCTCTGACTCTGTGAGAGAAAGACTAGAACTCATCGACATATCAAGGAGGCTGACATCAAGATCTGCTACTTGGTGCAAGAAGACGAGTTAATCCCAAGCCAGCGCCACGCCACCAACTTGCTGCCGGGGAGAAGACGAGGCCGCCATTGGTCTTCCGGCGCTGAACAGACGGAGCAACCGAGTACGACGCACTAGATCAGGCCCAGCGCCTCCGCCTCCCAGCGCCGCTACCCCCGCGCTTGACGCGAACAGCAGTGTCTGGACCGCGACTTGCAGGCCCAGATAGGACCTAGGAAGGGTCCGCGCCGTCGACGCCCGCACGCCACGGATCAGCACGCCACAGAGCCACCTACTCGCTCCGCCAAAGGCCAGCGCCGCCACCTCGTCTTCTCGCCCGCAGACCTCCCCCCGCGCACACCCTACGCTGTGTTCCTCCGCCCCGAGACATAGCAGATGTGCGCCTCCTCTGCCCTAGCCCTGCAAGCTGCAATATCACGCATGGTTCTCTCCTAAGCCAATCCTGCGGATCCATCCCTCCGGCTGCAGCCGCCGCCATCCCCTTCGGCAACCGCCTACCCCTCCCATCCAACGCCGCCGGCCACCACGACTCTCCTCCGCTGCCATCCCCTGCGACAGCCCCACACCGCACCCCTGCCGTTCTCCGCCGTCCACCACCGCTGTCCTTGGTTGGCACCACCTCCATTGCCTGGGCTATTATGCTTGGCTGAGTTTTGGGTGAAATAATCTCGCGGGAGCCGGGAGCGGGAGCGGGAGAAGAGTCCTTTTCCTTGTGCAATTTGAATAGAAAGGATATCGATTTTGGTTTGTGCGGCAACCGTAGTCAAAAGGAGTAAACTTTATTCGGAGTTTGGCTATTGAGAAGTTGTAATCCGGATCCTCCTCCCTTTTGGAGGAGAGCCTGTCGGCGATTAGTCGGCCGGCCTCAATAAATAGAGAACCTGAGGAGTAGGAGGGGCGATTGTCGATCCAATAAGTTGACATCCCCGATTTTGTTTTCGCCAGCGATTAGTCTGCTTTGTTACGCCGGGCTAAATAAACAGAGGAGCAGGAGGAGGGGCACTCGGATAAGGGCAGATCAGGCGTCCGCCGTTGCCACAGATCCAATAAGATCGATCTGATCAGCTCAGGCGTCATAACATCAAGTCATCAACAAGACCACTTGTTTATCCGATTAGCCATGACAAAGCTAAAAATGCATCGCAGACGTAATGTAAGTGTTGTTTCTGTTGTGCCTGATTGATGTTTGTCCTTCACGTTAGGTTCATCCCCAAAACTCTGATTATTTCTTGTTTTCCAGCTAAATGCAATGCAAAAACCAACTCGCACAGAAGACGCTGCTGGCAATGCAAACGAAGACAGGCTTAGCAAGCTGCCGCATGACCTTCTGCTCAACATCCTAGAGAGGGTGGACACGCTCGATGCAATAAGGACCTGCGTCCTCTCCAAGCAAATGCTTAAGCTCCCCGGCATGCTCTCGCAGTTCTTCCTAAGTTGTAGCTCCATTCCAGGTTTTTATGATAAATCTCGTGTTATCAGCCTCAGTGACGTGCATCGAACCAACGGTGTTGTGGCTCATGTTACGGATAACATCTTGAGCACAAGGAGCGAGGAGATCACTATCAGCAAAGTCAAAATCAGATTCGTCTTGGTGCCACATGACTCTCTCACCATTGGCAAATCTGTCGCCTGTGCCATGGCAACCCAGAAGGTTGGAGCAGCTGAATTTGAGGTCATAACGGAGAAGCCTTATGAGTGGTGCTCTCCTGCCGACTTCCTCCACGGTGCGAAGCAGTTCAATGATTTTGTCGGTGCTTGTCCTGATGCATTTGCTGGCCTCAGGCGCCTGTGGCTGTGCAATATGAGGTTTGGTGAACTGGACATCCCTAACATCCTCAGCACTTGCAAGCTCTTGGAGTCATTGCGTTTAACCGAATGTGATGCAAGGATCCATCCTGTGCTGCAAGTAGAGCATGCTGAACTTGTTGAGCTTGAGATCGACTATGGGGAATTTGAGAGAGTTGAGCTGATATATCTACCAAAACTCCGACGGGTGAGATATAAGAGTTGGTTCTCTTATAAAGATCCCGTGTATTTTGGTTTTGTACCACAACTTTCAAAGCCGAGCCTCAGTAAAACTGGCACCCGTTGGGATAAGACTCTTGAGTTAAGTCAGCTTCTTGCTAATGTTCCTTCCTTAAGCGATCTGCATCTGAATTTCGAAAGTGAAAAGGTACTCACTAGTCATTTGAATCATATCTGTCCATTCTCACTCTATATATGATGGTTATATGTAATGACAGTAGTAACTTAAGTTGGTCTTCTCTGCCAGTTGAGAATGTGATTTACTTGAAACTTACGCTAAGTTTGTAATTTGTTTTTCTGTCCCAGATTTGGGTCCTGCCAGAATGCCCGAAACCGCTCAAGCATGTGTTCACCAAATTACAGCACGTGAATCTGGACCATCTCCCTGAAGGACGTGATTTAGATTGGACAATGTTTATTCTTGAAGCTGCACCCTTTCTAAAAGAGCTGTGCATCACAGTATGGGATCATTGGTGCATAATGATGACAGACGAAAAGTTTCGAAAGGAAAATGGTTACTGTGAAAAGGAGGAGGTGAAGTGGAAGCCATATGCCCCTGATTTCAAGCACAAGAATCTAGTTAAGCTCACCATCTATGGCTTCCAACCCGACGACAACTTTGTGCGGTACATTAGGTTCGTCATGAAACATGCGGTCAATATAACAGAGATATCTCTGCATGACAGGAAGGTATGTGGGAGCTGTGGTACCTTGGGTCTTGAGGTTTGTCCGTCAAGATATCCACGGACCGCCAAGAAGAGGAGGCAGACAATTGCGATGGTTGGTTTGACTTCACAGCAAAAAATCTACTTTCGGTCCTAATTGAAAAATGATTTGCATGATATTCTTAAGATATGTATTTTGTAAATCATCTGCCATGCATCCTTTAGTTGGAAGGAGTTCCTGAAATCCATAATTTTGTAGTTACTGAGTCTGTACTCTTGCTTTCCCTTAAAATGAAGCTTTGTACCGTTGCCCAATTGAGGAAATATTTTAAGTTGCGACAGTATATCTGCGGTGCCTCTTTTGTTATGTAAAAATAAAATGCTTGATGCATTGGAAATTTATGTTATTCATCCTGATGCAATCTACTACATTAAAAATATGATGCTATATAGATACCATGATTAGATACTTTTAAGTGGGTTTTAGTTCAAGTACTTAATCTCTCTCTGTACGTAAAGAGATGGAACGTGCTGGAGTAGTAGCGTATGGAGGCAGGAGAACATCCATGCTGCGTTGCTGAAGCCTCCCAGGTCCCAGCAAGGGAGGCGTTGGTTTTAGCTGAACAGCTGGGTGTCGCCAAGCTTCAGGTTGGTGCAAGAGATGGAATGTGCAGAGGCCGTGAAGAAGCTAGTGCAGGACATAAAGCTGCGTAGTTGTCGCTTTAGCAAAGGTTGGCTGTGATGAGTACTCTGATCTTTAGCAAAGCATGGGATTAATGTACCTCTGTGATGAGTATTCTGCACCTTTAACCTTCTTATGATAACACAACACTAACCTGCTTCATTTCACGCACCTAAGCTTCTTTTTTGTCCGGACCCAAGATCTAAGACATACCGAGATTTGCGTCCGCACAACAGCCATACAGACTGGTCCATGGGTGCCATATAATCTCGGAGAGCCCGAAACAATGGTCCAACGGTCCTACACCGGAACAGATCAACCAATGTAGGGGAACCCATTGCTCCCACACAGGTAGTACTATTTAGGCCTGGGAATGAATGCCCATCACATAGCCAAGCCGCTTCACTTTGTATTTGATCGATTGCTAGCAATTGCATATCAAGGATTTTGACCCAAGATCTAGGTCATATAACTCGAGCGGGCACCATCGGACAAAAGTCTAACTCAATGCAACTGGACAGAAGCGCCAACGTCTGGGATAGCGTGATAAGCTCCCTAGCTCCCAGTGCATGAGTCTGCGAGTTTGAATTTCTTTTCATAAATTTCATAAATGTTTGCAGGTTTATAAATTGATCATGAATTTGAAAATTGTTCGCATATTTAACAAAAATCTTGATTTCCAAAAGGCTTTAAGAATTTAAAAACTGTTCGCCATTTTCATAAAATTTAATGAATTTTACATTTTTCCCATTTTCAGAAAAACTCGTGATTATTTAAGCTCGGATATGAAAAGAAACAGAAAAAGGGACAGAAGAAAGTAGAAACAGACTAACGGGCCAGCCTATAACAGTGGACGGGGGTGCATGTTTTGGTCGCTGTCCCCACGCGAATGCTATTTCTCGCATACGCGAGCGCTACGGGAACTCTCGCGAGAAGATAGTTTTCACCGGTGCTAGCCACCAGGCTAGGGTCTGGAATCTCATCACATGACAGGGCGGGATGTAGTTGAGCATAGTTAGCCCAAGTTTCATTGTTTTTTTATCTGTTTTTTATTTTCCTTTGATAGGGTTTTCTTTGTTGTTTATTTGTTTATTTGTTTTTCTTTTTTCTTCTCCATTTTTTGTTTGATTTTCTTTTTTCCTCTCCATTTTTTTTCTTATGTTACTTTTCATTTTCACTCTACATTTTCGTATATGTCAAAAAAAATATTTAATAAGTGATTAACATTTTTTGTATACACGTTCTACATTGTCTGAACACTTATTAATAATTTTCAAATACATGTTCACCATTTTAATAATTATTTCAACATTTTTAAAATACTTGTTCAACACTTTTTAAATAGTTATCCAACATTTTTTCAAATACTTGTCAACATTTTTTATACTTATTCAACATTTTTTTCAAATACTTGTTCAACATTTTTCAAATAATCGTTCAACCATTTTTTGATACTTATTCAACATTTTCCTAATACTTACTCAACATTTTGAAATACTTGTTCAACATTTTTCAAATACTCGTTCAATATTTTTTTAATAATTATTCAATATTTATGAAATACTCATTCTACATTTTTAATACTTATTAAACATTTTTAAAATAATTATTAAACATTTTTAAATACTTGTTCAACATTTTTTGAATACTCGTTCACATTTTTAATACTTACTCAACATTTTTCCAAATACTTGTTCAACACATTTTAAAATGTGTTTTCAAGATTATTTTTATTAATATATATGTAGATTGTTTTAATGTACTAGTAATAATGTACGTGCAATACACGTCTATACGCCCTCCGACCGGAAATACTTGTCCGGAAATACTAAAATACATCTAGCTAGATACATCCATTTCTCAGACAAGTATTTCCGAACGGAGAGAGTATTATGTAGGATATTAGTTGCACGTTATATTAGGTAGGATATATCTGTTACACGTTGGTATTTGGTAAGATATCAATTACTTTTTCGCGGGAATGGTAGGATATTAAATACATGGCAGATTTCAAGGGATATGGTTGAGTCAAAACGTGTTTATAACCAATGGCAGTGGTGGGTAATTAGAGCGTTAAACGTGTTTGATGCTCAACATTGGATTGATTTGAACCGCTAGATAACATGATTTGATGGTTGACATGGTTTGGATCTGCCCATTTAGGTCTTTTTATATTGGTATAGATGATGAATAGTACAAAAAGAAAGCAGAAAACAAGAACAAAAAACAGAAAAAGAAACAAAAAGAACAGGCTGTAGCCTCCTGCACGGTTGGGCCAGCCCATCTGGGGCTTCCCCCAACGCGAGGGTTCGCCCTCGTCTCGCGTAATGC